GTCCTTGCCGCCTGCGGAAGGCTCCCGGGAGGCTGCGCAGGCGCTGGCGCTCTCACTTCCCCTCCGCATGCAGGCAACCAGGATTAAATCACCGCTGGTAAAATTAGCAGATGACACACAAACAGGCAGGTGGCAAAACCTGGGCTGAGGAGCAAGGCGGGCTGCCAGGGGCAAGCCAGGTCATCCCAGAGCTGGGCACAACTGGTGACCCACGGCGTCTGCGGCCCCGCACTGGCCGGGGGCTGCTCAGCACCCCTGGGCCTCTTGATGCCACCCAGCACAGGGAGCAGCGACGGGGGTTGAGGGCAGCAGGTGGGCGGCCGCAGGGGTGCCCTGGGAAGAGCCAAAGGCCCTGGAGAGCCAGGGCTGGGAGGGGGGATGGCGACCGGCACCTGCTAAATTTAGAGCCTGCTTGAGAGAAAAAAAATAAAAATTGCAAGCTCCAGATTTAGCCAGTTGCAGCTCGCACCGAGCGCCGTCCCATCGCGCTGCTGCTGACAACGCCCCTTCGGCCCCGGCGCCCCGGATCGGGCACCTCCCGTCGGAGTCCCCAGAGGTGGAGACCCCGCGCCTGGCCAGGAAGCGAGGAACCCCAGCGTGCCCCAGGACCAGCCGACGGTTTCATCACCATCTTTATTTGAGGCGAGCCCACAGCAGTCCAGGTGTACACGGCAACACGCACTATGCTACGGAGGCCATTTCCATGCAGGCAACCACGGCTACACACAGAGCGGGTGGACGGGGCTGGCGCTGCACTGGGGCTCCCACTGGAATGGGGTTCCCAGCTCTTGGGGAGAACAGCCCCAGCTCAGTGGGGTGCTCGCTCACTGGCACCAGGCCCTGGGGCTGGAGGGTGTTTGGGGGCTCCCGGTCCGTCCTGCGGTCTCTGGGGGGTGAACGGGGCTGAGCTGGGGGACACCAAGGGAGGTGGCGTGTTCAGAGCTTCACATGCCCCTCAGCTGTGTGGCATGTTCCTCCCTGGAGCCAGGGACAGCCGGGTCCCCCCCTGGGCTGGAGACCTTTGCACCATTGGACTAAGGAGGTCGTTAGCCGCTAGGCCCATTGAACCATGGCTTTGGCATGGTGGGAGCAGACTGAAGCTGCATCCCGCTGGGGGAGGTGGCAGGGCCATCTCCCTCCTCATCAGAAAGGGCTGCTTCCATCAGCCCGGCACTCGTGGCAGACCGGTGCTGGTGTCTCATCATCCCACTGGCCCAGTGTGGTGGCCCTGGACTCCCCGTGCCCTGAGTGCTCCCCCCTGGCTCTGAGCTCAAACGAGCGTTCCTCGCCCCCGGCACGCTGCCAGACCCGGAGGTGCGGGCGCCTGCTTGCTTCCCCTGGCTGTGCCACCACCGTCAGAGAGACCCGAGCGCTGCTCTTTGCCTGCCGTGCAGCAAACCATGACTGGGTGCAAGGAGCAGCTCTGTGGTGAAAACCATTGCTGATTCCATACAGGCACTTTCTGACCAGAGCCATGGGCTAAAACACTGGGCTGAGACAGAGCGGGCAGGGAAACGGAGCCAAACCTGCTGCTACAAACACTGCTGACCTTGTGTGTTGTCATCAAACCCACCACCCTGCAAAGCTCTGCAGATGGCCGAGGTTTTTTTCCTTTCACCCTCCCCAAGCATGGGGGCTGCAAGGCACAGCTGCCGTCGCTGATGGGCTGGGGAAACGGAGCCCGCTGGTCCATGGGACCCGGGGTCTCTTTGGCTCAGCTCCCACGCGCTTTCACCTGGCTACTCATTAATGGCTGCCCGGGGTGATGAGGAGGAGGAGGGTGGATTTATGCACTGCGGGTGGAGCGTGCCCATGTGCCCAGGTACGTGCCCCCCGCCGGCCGGGGCCTCCCCTGAGGTGCCCGTGTCAGCAGGGCCCTACGGCCACTGCCAGAAACGGCCCCAAGCTCAAGCTTGAATGACTGCTCCGTTTCAACTCACTGTTCACTGAAACATCATGATGGAAGCACCCTCCACGCTGCCAGGGGGGTGATACTGAATAAGGACCTGCGGCATGAGAAGAGACCGGGCGCTGGGTCACCAGGGAGGAGAGGATGGCTTGTCCTAGCTGGGGCTTGCTGCCCTGTGGCAGGGGCGTAGCGGGGACAAGCAGTGGTTTTCCTGCCTGCAGCAACAACCACGGAACAGGCACAGGGGCCTGGGCCAGACCCGAGGGAGCTGCCTGGGAGCAGGGCCCGACTCGGGAGCCACGCGTCCCCCCATGCACAGCCACACTGGGAGGCAGTGGGTGCCTGCAGAAGCAACCAGCAGCCCTTTCTGTGGGCCGGTCCTGCCAACTCCCGGCTTCTGGGAGCTCAGTGAAGCGGGGCACACATCCACACCACCGCCTCCTCCATGCCTTTGGCTGTTTTCTGATCCCCGTCGCATCCTGGAGAGAAGCTGCGTCCTGCGGTCTGTCCCCACATGCCTGGTGGGGGACCCACGGGTGATGCCACCGAAACCTGCCCATGGGTCCCGGCTGGGTGCTGGCAGCTGGCTGGGCACAGAGAAAAGGAGTGGCTGGGCAGCGAGCAGTGGGCACCCGTGCAGGCAGCGGGCTGGCAGCAGCTTCTGCGAAGCTCCTCGGCTTCAGGGTTGGTCTGGGTGAAATCTGGCCATGTGGAAACCAAGGTGCAGCAGCTCCCTGCAGCCATCCAGGGGCATCAGAGACAGCACCGGACACTGCTGGGAGAACATTGGTGTGGCGAAGCACCTGGGGAGATGTGTAAAAAGGCGAAGGGCGCACTTCCAAGCGCAAAGAGCTTCCAGATGTCTGTCCCCAGGGTCCCCAGCCCCTGGCACGGGCTGGCAGGCTTTAGGAGAAAGGAAAGTCCACGTGGGAGGAAGTGCCGTGGGAGACAGCCAGCGGAGAAGGGAGGGGGCGTTTGCATCTAACCCAGGCTCATAAAAAGGTGACCCCCAAATAAATACATAAATATGAACATGAAGCCCAGAGCCGGGGCGCAGGGGTTTCCCAGGGTCAGCAGCTCCTCCCAAAATCCCTTTTCTGCCATTTCCAGGTCAAAACGCGGTCTCCTCCTGTCCACCCTGCACTTGTCCCCACAGCCCAGGTGCCATCTGTCACCAGCCCA